GACTTTCCAGCAGGGCCTGTTGCGATAGGACGAGATGGTTTTAAACTAAAAGAGGGGAGATCTAGACTAGATCTAAGGAAGAAATTCTTCACTGTGAGGGTGGTGAGGCACTGGAACAGGCTGCCCAGAGGAGCTGTGGATGCCCCATCCCTGGAAGTGTTGATGGATGCCCCATCCCTGGCAGCGCTCAAGGCCAGGTGGGATGGGGCTTTGAGCAACCTGCTCTAATGGGAGGTGTCTGCCCATGGCAGGGGGGTGGAACTAGGTCTTTAAGGTCCCTTCCAACCCAAACTTTCAGTGATTCTATGATAATGTGCTAACTTTTATCTGCAAGTAGACGTGGTTCCTGCTGCATTGCCTGTGCAGACACCTCCTCCTCCTCCCTCTTCCAAGTCGGGGCTAGGTTATCCTACCAGCCTTCTTGGTGGGGCCAAAAACACTAAAAATTAATAACGGAGCTGTCTCAGAGTATGAGAAGCTTAAATAAAGCCAAGAGCTTGGGTGTGTGATTTGATTTGATTCAATTTGATTTGATAGCGTTGATGCCAACTTGTTGAACTTCCCTTTTGCGTCCTTTCTCCACAACCTTCTGCAGGGCTTTGTGGACCCATCACAACTGCCAGCCTTGATCTGATCTAGAAAAAAACAGACAGGTGCCAATGCACGTCGTGTTTGATGGGCTAGGATTAGCATAGATTTGTCTTCAGTGCTCTTACCACAATCTCATTTTTCAGTGAAGCTTTTGGAGTATGGAGGAGGTGTTCCACAGACCTTTCACTGGAAGTGATGGCTTAGAAATAACATAGTAAATAGAAATAATCAGAGTAAATAGAAAATCAATTAAAATGCAGTGGTGGTTTATCAGAAGGAGGTTGCTGCTCTCTTTGATCATTGATTTTTCTAGATGACAGCCTCTTATCTGGCTGCTGTTCAACAGACTTTTGACAGAGGGTCATGTGGGAAGAAAATTAAGAGAAGATGATGGTTAATAAAATGATACTGAGGTGTGTGTGTATGTAAGGAGTGACTAAGAAGTAAATGGCAGGGTCGTGCTGAGAGGGCTAGGCAGGAGGTTAGTAGTGGATTTCCTTAATATTAGTGTTAATCACTCTGGCACAATTAGCAGGTGTGTGTCTGCAGCAAACTCAATGAGCACAAAGCTAGAAAATGTGGTCAGCACAGGGATGCTGGATGCGGTGCAAGGAGGACCGGCGTGATGGAAGCAAGGCGTAATCCAGCATCGCAGGATGCTTCAGTGCCAAGGAGAAGCTTTATAGAATGAAAGTAGGAGCTCATCAGCTGAAACCAGCTGTGCAATGCCAGCTTTGGATAAACCACAACAGTTTTTTCCAGCTGAGATAGGGAGTTACTACTGGCTGTATTGAGGAAACCTGTCTGGAGCATGTGCGCAATTCAGCTTTTTTATTTTCCGGAAGGACTTCCTTGAGCAGGTGGGTGAAGGGCTGCTGAGATGACGAGAGTTTTTTAAATGAGCAGCTGAAAGAGTTGAGCTTGAGGCAGCCAGTAAAAGCAATGTCTGAGAGGGCTTTAGGTGCGCTTTTCTGCAAGTACGTCGGGGGAGCGAACCTAGGAAGGAAAAAGTTAAAAGACCATATTGCCCAGTAGTACTGACTCCAAGATGATCCAAGAAATCCCTCCCTAACAGAGGTGGACAGATAAGGGATGGGACCGTGACTTGAGGACCATGGCTCAGGTCCTCGCTGGTTGCTCAGTGACCATGTAGCATGTTTCACACTAATTTGACCATTGTTAGATACAGCAGAACTTAATTTTTGAAGGAAGTAGTCCAGGTAGGGTTGATGTAACGCAAGGTTTCGATTGGAAGCCTTGCTGTGGCCCAGGGTATCTTCGTTCTGGTCCTAAGTGGGTCCTGCATGTGCTCCACTCCAAATCCTGCACTCATTAGGAGAAAGAGACAAAATACCTTGGATTTTAATCTCCTGGTGTTCTCCCATGGGACATCATTAGCGTTACTTGAAAATGTTGTCTGTGCAGGCATCTGACCTTGCAAGACACATTTTTCAGCAAATCAAATCAGAACAGTAAAACATCTCTAAGAATGACTTTGAATATTGGTAGCTTAGCTTTGGAGGGACAGGAGCAAGGATGGAGCATAAAGGAGTTTGCCAACCACGTGATACTTATTTTGAACAGTAAAACCCACACACAAATCTGATGCCCAGCCCTCTGAGACTGGATTTCCTTGAGAGTTTTAGTCTTACTATTGGAAGTGGAGTAGCTAAAAGTAATTCAGACTTTACCAGAGACATCTCTGGCTGGCACGTCCAAAAGCTTTTGATGGTCATTTGGAATAATGGACCTGCTTTTCTTCTTGCCGCGTCCGTCTTCCTTGCAGTAATGAAATCCTCCTCCTTTTTTCTTAATCTCCGGATTTGAGCTACCTCTGCGATGGTGTGGGCAACATGGAGTGGTTTGGAGAGGTTGGTTTTTTTAACACAGAGTTTCCTCCTACTGCTGTAGAAGAGCTTAGCGCTATCGTGGTGGTGTTTAATGCTTGATGGAAGAGCAAGCCTGTGCAACGCACCACCCGTTTTGGTGCACGGAGCGTGCTTTCCTTCCTTCTGCTACGGCAGGAAAGAAGCTTGTGCTTCATGAAATGGAGTTTCTCCAGCGTGTTACCCCGATGGATAACGTCTCATGATCTTTCAGGCACTAGCTGCCGGCGACAGAAATGAAAAGCTATCCATAAACCAGGAGTTTCCGTTGCTGTAAGTTTTCCCTTGGTTGTTTCAGGGATGTTATTAGAAGATTTCATAGGTGCAGCAGGAACTTGAGGAGCGGGATCCACGTCTGCGACTCACACCGGTGGAGGACTCCTTTCTCTTGCAGTGAAGGCTCTTCCATGCTGCCCTGTGGATGCAGTTACTGTTAGTAGAGAAGGCAGGTCTCACTTCCACCTCCAGCCCGTTTTCACTCTGTATAAATACAGAATCATGGTGGCTATTGATTCCCCGCTCCCAGGGAGACTTCTGCTGTAACCAGTGAACAGGTTAGAAATAGTCATTATTCAGCAATCTGCAGTGAAAGAAGAAAGGACTTTTGCACTTTTCGGTGTCTTTGGATATTGAAAAATTGCAAACTCTAGTTATTCTTACCATAAATTCAGCGTGTGCCCTTGGTTTATGCAACGCTCGTGCAGTTCCGCCACATCTGGACAGCCACACAGTTTTTACTAGGGCGGGAGCATGGCAGTTGCTCTACAGGTTTTCTTTCCGCGCCCTCGCTACCAGAGTTTTCTCCCTAAACAGTTACCTTCTCCTGGTTCAGGTCACACTGTACAGTGTGCCAGTGACAGTTCTTCATCCGGACTCACAAGGTTGAACCGAAGAGTGCTGTGCTAACCTTAATGTTGTCAGGATTTCTGCGACGGGGAGTCATCTGTAGCTTTCGTGGAGAAACCATTTGCTATGGGGAACAGCTTAGGTGTCGTAAAGTCTTCAGCAGCACCAGAATGACCATTTTAAGCTCACTGTCATGTCAAATATAGAAGCATCGCTGCTTCCTTCTGCCCTACCCCATTCTTCCTGAATGCCGAGGCAGATAAGCCCAGCTCATTCCTTCATTCCTGAGCGGTTACCACTCTCTTCTTGCCGTTCATGATGTTGTTACTCACAGGTCATTTGCATTGATGCACTTCATCAGGCAGCAGTCTTCAGTGTGATGTATGATGACTTTTTCCCCCCCCCCCTTTAACAATTAAGTACATGGCATTTCTTATCATGGTGCAGAAGTGGAGACCAAGTCCATGATCTGAGCAAGGGTTTCTGCTTTGTCTGCCATCTCTGTATCACTGACAGAGCCCAGAAAGGAAAAACGTTTGATGTTGTAGGAGCACAGTAAACATAAAGTCTTTCTGTAGTATCATATTTCCTGCAGTTAATCGTGGTTAGTTTTTTTTTCTTTTTTCTTTTTCTTTTTTTTTTTTTTTTTTAAACTTTTATACTTCCATATAAAATTTTTTTAGATGAGTTTCTGACCCCTGCCTTGGGATTCTGGTAGAAGAGTCCTTGGTACCAGTTCAGTGTCTCTTGTTTCGGTAAGAGATTAGTCAAAGCAGGGTAGAAAGATAAATGGAATTGTCTGCAATTAGGGTGCATGTTATATCCTATTCCTTCCTACTGATCTGTAAGCTGTTCCATTGGCTTTCTTTCTGTTTCCCGCTGCTTTCTTGCTTCGTTATTGAAGGGAGGATTCAGACCTATACAGGTAATTTTAACTCCTGGTTCTGCATGGCATAAATGTCTCTATCACTTGTATCGTTACTCCGTTAGTGAATGCGTTAATGTCTGATGCATATCTTACCGACTGAGTTTCAAGATTGCAAAGACTCTAGAGCAAGGGCTGCCAGTGCCGCGAATGCTCCGTACCGTGGATGCCGATGCCTTTCCCGGCGCGTAAGGGTTGAGGACGGAGCATGTACCAGTGGGTTGCTCGGTTTGCTGGACCTGGTCCATCTGCGTGGGGCATCACTTCATGCAAACGTGGTAGCAGGGTTTGGTGCCACCCTGGAAGAGGTTGCCACCTTTCTGAAAACGGAGGGCAAGACAAGTCACCCGGCTCAATCTGTATAAAAGATAGGCACAAGGAGCCCCTGGCTTCTCTAAAAATCTGGCTTTTTAGCTGTCCTGGAGGTATATTGAACAGTTGCCTCGATCTTTTATTTCCATGGCATATTTATAAAGGTGGCTTTTTTGGCACTCAACCTACCTTATAAAAAATATATTTGACAAAAATCACTTTTAATGTCTGCTCTGAAAGTTGAGCTGTATAATTCAGTAGATACAAACGAATAATTACTGGCATTTAAAGTTTCTTACCTTTTTCTATCTTGTAAAATAGAAGGCCGTAGCATGATCTTGCTATTTACAGTGAAACAGAAATTGTCCTGCAGTTTTCTGAATGCCTGGCAACCCTTTGGAAGTAGTATTATAATATTGTAATGATATTTCAAATATTTTTCCCAGGAAAGCTGACTGATTCTTTGTTTTTTTTCTCTCCCCTCTTCTTCCTCTCTCCATTCCCTGCCATAGTTTTTTCAGAGGCCTCAGATACAGCCTCCAAGAGCTACCATCCAGAACAGCAGCCCTTCCATCCGTCCCGGTGCGCAAACGCCGACTGCGGTGTATCAAACCAACCAACACATCATGATGGTTAATCATCTGCCAATGCCCTACCCGATGCCTCAGGGCCCCCAGTACTGTATACCACAGGTAAAAACACATTGCCCAGGCACCTAAGGAACTGCAAAGCAACATTTGCTCCATCTGGATTTTCTCAAGACTTGCCACAGAGTTGCAGGGAGTGCGAAGTTAAGCTGGTAGTTGCGTATTTACCCTCTGTCCTTTTTCTGTGCGAAGTATTTGTTCTTCCGAGCATGGAGGCGGGAGGAATAAATTACCTTTCTAGTTCTTGAGGTCCCCCTCAAAAATGGCGTGAGACTAAGCTCTTGGAAAACGTTTAGTGCTATAAATGTACCTAAATTGACTTAATAGCTGTACAATTACTGTAAAACCTTGGGCCTTATAAAAACACAGTACTACTGTAATCAGAGGAATGGCTGTTTTCTACTTCAGCTCCGAAGTCCTTGCTGCCTTGTCTTGCAGCTTGCCTCTCTTTGACAGTAACGTTTCTGAATCTGTGATTAATCAGTTTGATAATCAGATCCTTATTCGTTTGGGGGGCTCGATTACAGTTTCTGTATGTAATAGCATGAAGTTGCCCAACTCTTTGTAAACTGATGGTTGTTTTTCTCCCTCCTAGTATCGTCACAGTGGCCCTCCGTATGTTGGGCCCCCGCAGCAGTATCCTGTTCAGCCGCCAGGACCAGGACCCTTTTATCCAGGACCAGGTCCTGGAGAATTCCCAAATGCCTACGGTAAGTTCTGCTTGGAGATTTCTTAAAAAGTATTTTCTGGGTGTGCTTTCCTGTTGTCCAACTGAAGATTTATAATAGCAAAATGTATTAGCATTTGTATGAACTTCAAATAGCTGCTCAGTTTGGTTGTGTCACAGCCCTTATTATTCACTCCTGAAAAATTCACAATAACAGAGCATTGTTTGTATGATTGCTTAAGGAAAGGCTGCAACTCACAGAGCTACCCGTAATCACATACGAACAAGAATAGTGGCTATTTGTTATTCCCTGCTGGATCATTGTTATTTATTAAGGTATTGTGGATACATCTGGCAGCCCTGGTTTCCATTGAGCTATGCCCTGAATATGTTCACAGCAATACAGCAGTTAACATTTCTTATCCCTGCATCCCTTGTTCAGTGTTTAGCCAGGGAAGAGAACAAGCCATGTGGTTTATTCACCAGTCTCATGCTGCAAAGATCAAGTTAGTCCAGTCAAAGAGCTTGTAACCCGTGCACAGGCTGAAATTTGCCCTTTTAATGGGCAACTCCTGGTCTTGCCTTTTCTCAAGAGCAAGGGTTGGCAGATTGCCCAACATAGTTGTGTGCGCTGTGGTTGTTTGGCACGCTATATTCGGTATATTTGGTTGACTCCTCCAGGTACTGAGCTTCAAAGCTGCCCCTAAAAATTCAGAGGCTGCATGTCCAGCGCTGGGCACCCCTCCTGTCTGCGTCTCACCGGTCCTTCTCTCCCCCGGGACCTCACAACTGCCTCTCGTTTGGGCCCCAGTTTGCACACCCCGTGTCCTTCAGCATCCCATGCCGCCTCTTCTCTTGGCGATCATCATCTACGTAGAAGTCATTAAGTCCTTTCCTAATCGTTTCCAGTGTGTTGCCATCTACAAGATATATATCGTACTTACATCACAGTCCCCTATAAGGTTTTTTGTGGGATCATGTATTTTGATATTTAAAACAAATCGGCTCCTGCAAGGTGTGTTTGAATGAGATGCAGAACCAGGTGTCTTGCAGTCATGTATATCACTACTGTTGTTTGGTTTATTTACCCTCCCTTCCTCGATTATGGGAACACTTGAAAAATCCACCAGGATGATTCTAGTCATCGCCCTGTTGCATGCTTTTTCTTTTTAAGGGTTTTCACCTCTCCATAGCAAATTTGAGGTGTTTTGTTCAGTCTGATTGCTACCTGCCCGCACGCATTCTGTAATCTGTTGGGGGCAGAGATACTATGAACTTTCCAGGCGGCTTTAGCTGTTGGTATTTCGGAGGGTTGGACGTGAATGATTACCTTCCGGGCTGAACAGTGACAACCCTGTACTGTTGGCAGAATTGCATGTTTGCTCTTCACAAATACAGATTCCTTTCAAAGGGGAGAAGAGGCCCAGTTGCTTCCCTACTTCTCATTTGAAAAGGTCTGGACTCTTTTTTCCTTCTTTTTTTTTTTTTTTTTTAATTTATTTGGTGTATATAGAGCTAATGGGACTGCTTTGAAAGGTTGCCATGAAGCCTTCAAACGTGGTTATGCAATTTCTGAATAAAAGGAGAGCAATTATAAGGCAGCTAGTTCCTGTTTGCTTATTCTAGAAAAAATAAAGAGAAGAAATATTGCAATGACTCTTTAAATCTGATCTGCTACATGAGGAAATTACCCAGTGTTCCTCTTTTTTTTTTTTTTCCCCCTGCAGTTACAGGTCTGCTTTCTTACTTTCTGCTCACTTAGTGCCCTTTGTCTGCCTTCACTTCTGTAATTTGGAAAAGGTTCCCTTCCGGTTCCTTTCTACTCCTGAAAGTGCCTGGTTTCTTGCACAGAGGCTTGTAATCTTTCAGCCCCAGCTTGTTTTTAGGTTGCTGTGTCTGCAGAGCATCAGTGGGCGAAGCTGGAGCCCTCCGTCACACAAAGCATTTTCCAGGCAGAGCAGGTTTAGCCGAGGAAGAGGATGATTGCAGGTTTGCCTGTACCCATCCACCTTTCCCTCCTCTTGCTCTCTCATTATTTATGTAGGGTCTGAAAATGTTCGGTGCGCTCGTGGCGCTGCTCATGGCGTTGGGAGACAACTAAATTTACAATACAGGCGTGGGTGATGCTGCTGGCAGTGGCCTTTCCCATAAAGCTCAGGACTTCGTGGCCAGTGTGGCTGCTAGGCATGAAAATCATCACAGTTCGTCAGGCTGTGAAGTGATAAGGGAGAATCCTGCAGAAGACAAAACTTGTGAAGATGGACAGTGCATTTTTTTTAACTCTCTCAGTTTTGCAATTTATCTTTCTCTTTTATATCGGTGAGTTTCCGTGCTACGTTGGGAAAGACCTTGAAATGACAGATGGAAAGGAGGGAGAATAAAACTCGGGTGCTGCTGAACTGGAAAGGATCAAAAGGGCAGGGTGCAGAGCAAAGAACGTCGCACTGAAAAATGTGCTTGGCTTGTTGCCACAGAAGCTATATTTCTTCTCAGAACTTACTCCTGCTTTTCGGGGGATTTGCTTTTTTTAAAGTATTTTTCATAAAGGGAGAGTCCTTCCTTGAGTGCCTCGGGATCACCTTACAGGCTGTCTGATTAGATCTGGGTTTTAGGAAACTAGGAATCGAGGTAATTAACACATTGCAGGGCTCCCAGGCTTGCTCCTGGTCCCTCGCGTTCTCCAAACTCATGCTGTACCCCTGGCCAGCTTGGCCAAAGCATTAGTGGGAAGAGTTTGAGGCTTCATCAGTGTTTTTAAGGGGAGAGAAGCAGGAGGGCTCTTGCTTCCCAAGCCATGGGGATGCTGACGGAGACTTTTGTGCCCTGAGGCCGGATCTGAAGTCACGCTGCCTACCGTGAAGTTCAAAGTGAAAAGTTTATTGAGTAATTTAGGCCACCTTAATAGCAGCATCCGAGAGTGAAGGTAGGCTGAGCTTTTAGCAGCTTGATGGCGGTGCTGTGCAATGCCCTCTGCTTTCAGCTACCTGCTTTCTATTTCAGCAGAGAAACGTTCTTGCTCTGAGCATGCAGACAGGGAGCCCGGTCCGAGCTTTTACTTTCCAGTTCTCAGTTTGAGGAACACGTCCTTTGAAGTTACAAAGCAGATTGTGCTGGGCTGGTTGAGTTTGCTTTCTTGGATTTCACCGTTTGCTTGACGTAACTAAAAACGGGAGGTTATTGCTACACAATACAGATTTTCATTCCCATTTAAAGGTTAGTTCAGCTGAAGAATAAATCAGATTGTTCCAGATGCAAGTGTGAGCAGGCAGGCCATCCATGCTTAGAAGGAAAAAAGAACCCAGCACCATCTTACAAGTTCACCTGATATCTGGTCCACAGACAGAAAACAGCTCTGCTACAGCTCTACCACCTTTCTTTATGTCTGGCGCGTTTTTAAAGCACTCAGTCATTTTGAGCCAGTCTTATTCCATAAAGAAAAACATAATGAAACTATATTGGATATTATGAATGTAATCCACAACGCAGCGTAATTTTGCAATAATAACAGTAGTCGTGCTTTTTTGTGTTGCAGCATGAGAACATTGCTTGTAATTAAATTTTCTGGCTGTGCTTCAAAATAGGGTGCAGTTGACCTTGCAGATTCTTTGTAATTGGCCTGACTGAATTTCTCTACAAAGGCAAAAAAAAACCCCAAACAACAAACCCACCTGTTTGTCAGTCAAAGGAGTCCAAGGATGGGCCACTTTTCTTGTCATGCCTTGGCGATTTCAACAGCCTCTCAGAAATGGATGCATGTGATCAGGTGTTTTTTTTTTTCGTTCATGGAGGAAAAATAATGAATCACAGAATCACTAAGGTTGGAAAGGACCTTCAAGATCATCAAGTCCAACCGTTAACCCAACCCCACCATGCCCCCTACACCATGTCCTGAAGTGCCACATCCACACGTTTTTTGAACACTTCCAGTGATGGTGACTCCACCACCGCCCTGGGCAGCCTGTTCCAATGTTTGACCACCCTCTCGGTGAAGAAACTTTTTGTCATATCCAATCTAAACCTCCCCTGGCACAACTGGAGGCCATTTCCTCTCGTCCTATCGCTGGTTACTTGGGAGAAGAGACCAACACCCTCGTCGCCACAACCCCCTTTCAGGTAGTTGCAGAGAGCGATGAGGGCTCCCCTCAGCCTCCTCTTCTCCAGACTGAACACCCCCAGTTCCCTCAGTTGCTCCTCATCAGACTTGTGCTCCAGACCCCTCCCCAGCTCCGTTGCCCATCTCTGGACACGCTCCAGCACCTCAGCAAGTGAAATAGTGACTTAATCGCTTGTGTTGATGGAGTAGCAGCTTCTGTTTTAGTGGAAGTGGGGAAGAGCAAAACACAGACCGGTGACCAGCTGGATGTCGGAAGTCCTGGTTTTTGAAGGGAGGGAGGAGTAGGTGGACAGTTTTACCTCTTGCGTTTGGTTTTGTTTCATTAACAAATGAACTGCATTTTTCACTTGTTGCTGTCTCATCGTCCTTTCGCAGGAACTCCTTTCTACCCAAGTCAGCCAGTGTATCAGTCAGCACCCATCATAGTGCCTACGCAGCAGCAGCAGCCTCCACCAGCTAAAAGAGAGAAAAAAACGGTAAGTGATCATCAATAGCTGATATATTCCTTCTGAGAATTGTCCTGCTTCTAAGGTTGAAGGAAATTAATAATGATCTTAACCCTAAAACTGAGCTTTATCTTCACAGAGAGGCTAAGTCTTACCTCTCACACCTAATTGTAATTGAACATATCACAATGCTGCAACATTTGTCTTATTTTCTATTTTCTGCGGGGACTTTCTGCTCTGAGTTTGTGACATCTCAGACAGTCAAAAAGGAAAATAATTTTGCCGGTTTTGTAATGAGCATAAATGAAAGCAACGTCGTCTCCCCAGGCCAGGGATCCTCAGCTGCCGTCGCTGCTGTGTAGAGTTTTACCAAAGAGCCAGGTGGGAATGAACAAACTCGGATCAGTTTGGGGAGACTGTTGGGAATTGGTTCAGACTGACAAAAAAAAAAAAAAAAAAAAAAAAAAAAAAAAAACCCAAAACACCAAATTGTTCAATATTACACTTTGGAAAAGGTAGAAGAACAATAAGTTGTGGACTTATTTGCACGTTTGAAAGAACCTGAACACATCCCATTATCAAAGTAGGTAAAGGTTTGGAGACCACATTTCCTCTCTTCCTAATTCACTGGTCAGAATTTGAGACACACAGATTAATGAAATTTAAACCTATTTGCAGGTGGTGATGGTAGGGAATAGTAAGGACGCCAGGTGAATGTAACATCTAAATAGAAAAAGTTAGGGACAGACTTGAGTCTGGGAATGAATAGTCAATTCTGAATGATTGAAAAGGAAATTACTTTACATCACTGTGTGTGTTAGAGTGGTTTGGAAACACTAAAAGAACTATTTCCTGGCAAAAAAAAAGATACGGGATTTCTACATGTCTCAAAATGCAGAATATTTGTATGTTTTGATTTTTGAAGTTGATCTGAGATGACACTTGATTTGGGAAACTGGAAGAGCTGAGCAATGGTTTAGCTGGGCTTGCAGAAAAGGCCTTTTTTGTAGCTGCTTCCAGCAAAGGGTGATGCAACTTCTCTTCTGCCACCTCTTCACCATCCTCTTCAGTCCTGAGGAGTCTCTTTTCAGCATCCAAAATGTGTCATGGCCAGGTCATTGATGCCATTTGAAAAGCAAAGATGTTCAGAAACACTCAACCGTGCTTAAGACTGTTTCATGCCAACAAAGTGAAGTTCTTTTGAAGCAGAAAAGCAAAAGGTTTTTTAAATGCCTGAGATGCTTTTCTCAGGAAGTACTGTTTCAGTTTGCTAATTGGTGTTGCAACTGAAGAAATGAGAGAAATTAAAGAAAAAGTAAACGTAGATATGTACGCACACCCACATGCACCATTAGTTGAGTGTTTGAGTACTACAAACTTTCATGCAGGGCAACCTTGTTTTAATGCCATTGACTACTTGTCAGGAGGAGTGGGTACGAATTTGTGCCGACTCTTAAGTCCTTGTTGCTGTGGTTAATTAAATGTTTTAGCAGAAAAACACCAGTCTCTTCTTTTTACTCCATCAAAAATAAAGAGAAGACGACATCTTGTCAACGTCATATGTGCCATGTGTATATTCATTTGTCTTCGTAATCCAAAGAGTCAAGAAGACATCACACGATACTGAAGTTGATAAATCACAAAACCCTTCTGCAACTAACGACTTTATACATTGCCAATGGAAAAAGGCACAGCGGTTTCCAGCAACACCCCTGCCCTCGGAAGGACGATGGCTCTAGGTTTACTTGCAGTTGTGCTCGGCACAGCAGGGATCTCTGTGTGCAATTTATAGAGAGAGTTCAACCAAGAGTTTTTGGGAAGGTGGACAGACAAACAATAGCACTGTCTTCAGGTTTATGGAAGTCTTCAATTCTTACATTGAAGATTAAAAACTCTTATTTTGAATTAACTCAGACAGCTTGACTGTTCCGCATATTCGGTGCCACACATTGGCTCAAGTGCCAGTTGAGGATTCAAATGAGCGTGTTCTCCAGTGGTTTATTCTGGACAATATTTTTCCTTCTTATTTTGGGGCTGTGAAGAGACTCAAAACCATACTTGTTTCCTAAATGCCGATGAGTTTCGTAGGACTTCAGTTTGTTCTTCTTGCAATTTCCCTTTCCTCCATGCAGTACTTTTTGTTTCCTTCCTTTTGTTTTGCTGGTATGACATTTCTCAATGTGGAAGGGAAAAAAGAGCTGATTTGTGTTCCCCCTTACCAGCAGCTGGATTGGCAAGGTCACTGAATTTCCTATCAGGGTAAAAAAGGGCTTTTTTTTCATTCCTGTGCTTCCCGCTAACTGGCAAGCTTAGTTCTGTAGCTAAACTGTCTACTAGATTTTCTAAGTTGCAGTAAACTTATTTTCCTGAAGTAGAGACTATATTCTGAATTACAAGGTCATGCACTGGGGTGCACTTGTTTAGACATAACTGGTGTGGTTGATGAGCGTTTTGATTAAAAGAGGTTTTGAGATTACGGGGTGACATACCATGCATTTCAAATTATCGAAACAAACCAAATTCCAACGTTCCTGCAGAGCTCAACCCAGAGCATCTCCTGCCGAGTGTAATGGAATTATGTCCTGTCCATGCTCTCCTCTCCATAAACCCCAAGGACAGTGGGTAACGGGAAGACTTGTTTGAATTATTTCTTTGTTCAATACCGTAGATCCGAATCCGGGATCCAAACCAGGGGGGCAAAGATATAACAGAAGAAATAATGTCCGGAGGGGGCAGCAGGAACCCGACTCCTCCCATCGTGAGACCCACTTCCACACCTACTCCACCTCAGGTAATGAAGCGGCTGCGTAGCCTTCTCTCAGTGACGTCTGCTTTGCTTTGCTGTTTGTTAGAGCCAATTCCTGTATCTTCCATCGACACCACCGATCACCTCAGGCACCTGGACAGTCCTAAATTGTCCATGTTCTTTGAGGATTATTTTTTTTTCTCCAAGTTTTGTCATTTTTTACCAGCCTGTAGCTCGTAAAGTGTGGAGCTGCAGTGCTGCTACAAGTTCCCCATCCCTGTTTTTTGTATCAGCAGTAGCTTTTAGAGCTGGTAAAGGCTCCTAGTGTTAGAGGAGAAACTAATATATTTGTGAGAAATTTGATGTTTCCATTAGCGTCTTGTGCACCTGAGGAAAGTCCATATCATGCATGTGATTGATTATGTATCTTCAGTTGCATCACTGCCCATACTAATGTCTCTCCGCTTTAGTAGCGTTGTTTTAGAGTAACCAGAATGACTGTAGCTCAGGAATTTCATCGCAGATTTGGTCTCTGCATGTTCAACCTTAAAAATGCATTTTTCTGATGTAGGAAAAAGCATAAATAGCTCAAACTGACATTTTCCGTAGCTCATAAATATCTTCAAAAATCCTTGTCACACGTCTTTGGGTTTCTGACCCCTTCTAAGCCTCTCTATCCTGCTCCACCTGAGAAGTCCATGTGTAATGTCTGGAAATTAAACTGATCGCAATCCAGGTCTGTTCTAGGCCTTTTTGACCCAGGGCCAAAAGAGTGCTCTCAGACTCGCAGACCAGCAGCCCTGACGTGAGCGTAAGTCCACCATGATGTGAACCACTGGGGCTGGAAGTGGCTTGGAAAAAGATTTAAAAGATTTCTCTCCTCTGACCAGCTCTTCCAGGAAGAGGCCATGCCTCCTTGATCCGCCCGTAGCATCGGAGGCGGAGAGGAGGCGCGTGGCGGCTGCCGCCCTCTTCCCAGCTGCTGGCTTGGTGTAGCTGCTGTTGGCTTCCTACGTCATCTCAGCTCTCCCTCTCTTTCGGGAGAGGCGGTGCTAAGCCACAGGCCACTAAACTCAAGTGTTTCTGAACAACTGGAGAAGAAGCTCTGTGGTTTGGCACAAGCCTCGGAAGCTGGCTGTGTTTTATTGAGGTCGTCGTCCGCTTCTCAGGGGCCTGATACAAGAAGACGATCAATATCAGGAAGGTTCCCCAAGTGATGGGGGGGCTTTAGATCAGAGCCTGGCTGAAGCTGGGGTGCAATTTCTTCTTCTAAGTTCTTCCCTGTTCAATGTCAGAGACTAGCTTTTGCTAGCTTTTAGGTGAAACAGCCTTTCCCGGGCTGCGACCTTACTTTCCCCTCTGCATCTGGGTAGTTTTTCTGATGACTGCCCTGTGCTGAGGCAAAAGCACAAGCTTGCCTTGAGACACCCGTGGCACTGGAGTGGGAGCTTGAGGTTGCAGCTGAGCCGGTAAAAGTATAACTGAGATGACTGAGACGAAGTAAGAGCCTGGCCTGCTGGTGTCCCCTCCCTTGAGACCAACGGGACGGTCATGGCATTTGGCTGTTCCCCTGATTCAGTCGAAGCGTCTTGTCATACAAAGGCATCACCGTTTGCTTGGGTCACCTGCTTTCTCCTCCCGGTCTCCATCGTGGGCAAGCAGCAGCAAGGCACCACGCTCGAGCAGTTCCCGGCTAGCCGTGTTTTTGGAACAAGCTCTGCGGTACTCAACTGGAAAAAGTTGTTTTTCTGCCTGAGAGTGGTCTGATGATTAGTGACTGCAGCTGGAAGGGGAGAAGAGCTGAGAGCTGGTTACGTATAGAATCAGTTAAACTTCTTTCTCGGCATTTTCCATGAAAGAAGGTATTAGTGATGTATAACGTCGGAGTGTTGGTGAGATCTTCTTCCCATTACTTCATGCTAAATGACTTCCCTCACTAGTAGTGGGGAAGAGATGAAAACAGCCAGGGCTTCAGGCTGTGTTTATGCATGGTGCAGCTAATCCAGGCACTTACCAGATCATTTTTGCATTCTGAAATCTATTTTAAGTCAAACAGGACGAAATAAATGTTTTTCAAGAGGAGATTAATAAGCATGAATTTTGATCGGCTGTAATTTATATGCAGAGCAGAGATGTCCAATCATCTGCGCTAAGGTATGCAAATACGTCATTGTTTAATGTCCAGGCTTTGTTTTGATGAGGCAATTGGAACCACTTTTGTTAATCACAGAAGAGCTCTGAAATAGAGTTTGCCAGAAAAAGTTCATTAATGTAACATAACTGAAAATTTAAGCTCCCTTAAAGCAAGATGTTCAAAGTTATTGTCCCAACAGCATCTCTAATTCATTTCTTTGTAGCAAGTGTAGTATCTTGGATGAAATTAGATGATGCCTTAATAACTGTGCCCAGTGGCTGAATTCCAGTAGTGGTGGATGTTGTAATTTTGACAGTCTAAAACTGGTAAACTCTAAATATTCAGCCATACCTTTGCTTGAAATGTGCTAGGGCTTTTTTATATTCCCTTTCCCTAGCTGATAAAAGCTGTGAACAGTCAGTGTGAGCTTCCTAAGAAAATACCTGCCTCTTGGAACGCTCACAGTTTGGGAACGCTCCTGGCGTAGCTGCAAGGCGAGCACCGTTGCTTTGTTCCACCAGCCCTTTGGATCAAACCCTGCACGTCGGGACGGGGTTGATGAGGTTTCATCTGGTGGAACGCTCAGTATGCGAAGATGCAGTCTCCAGGCTTGACGAAGCATCGTCTAATCAAAGTGACTCCCAATCCAATGACATTTTAAAAATATGCCGAATTCTAGTAGCACTTCATTTGTATTGATTGCCAGTATCTGATTCTCTAATCTTGTTATTTAGACAACACAACCACAGAGGGAGAAGCTTGCTCCAGAAGTGCGTAGAAACCACTGCTGTAGACCAGTCCCTGTCACAAATTTTACTTTTTGTTATAATTTTACAATAATAATAAGGCCTATTGTGTTGCCTGTTTCAAAATCTTCTTTTTCCCCTGGGTATTTGGATATTTTTTTTAACTGACCCAACAAAACCAGAAAACTTTAACACAAGCCCAGAGCACCCTTGTCTCTCAGATTAACATCAAAAAAACAACATTGGACTTGTCCAAAAAGATGAGCGTTGCTGCCGAGTCTCGAGCCGCGTGGTTTTAGCCACTTCCATGCTTCTCGTATCTCTTGCTTTGTAGTCGGCATCGCTGACCAAAAAGTGCTTTAGGTGGAGTCTTCCCAGCACCTCCGCAGTGGTTGCTTAATTGCTAAAATGCTTTGAAGTTCCTGCGTAAGAGGAGCTGACAGTAAGTGGAGACGTTATTTATACGTTTCTAGCAGGGCACTATTTTCCACACTCCGTTTTTTTCTGGGAAGATAAATGAAACCCAGGACCACATATTGAGTCTGGCTGCAGTATTTGCTCGGCACTGACTTGGCTAGAAGATCACCTTTTAAAGAGTAAGAAATGCTCTAATTTTCCTGGCAAACCTCATCCAAGTATCGATGAGTTTGTCACATTTTGTGTTTGCTCAGTCTACGGGCCATGGAGGGATAGAATAGCAGAGCCACTCTTTTAGCATCATAAATCACGAGAGCAATTTTGAGTGGGTTTTTTTCCTAGAAGGTCCCTAAATGCTCCATTTTGAAGCTGAGAGCCTGTAAGGGTCAGTACTTAAGTACCATTTATATTGCTTTGCAGTGTCATTCCCACAAAATAAATGAGTGCTTTCCAGATTTCTTAAGAAAACATGTTTACTGACCCAAGGAGTTTCTAGACTTACAGATTTCTTTGTCCGCTAGTCTCATTTGGTTCCCGTGATTCTTATCACATTCTCTTTTTTCCCCACTGCTTTCGTCCATAAATTTTTCATAAAATGTAACTAATGATCCGCTGAGAGCGAGGGGAAAGCGTTCTTGAAACCTGCTTGTTTGTAAAACTCTGTTTTCTTTGGCTTCCTTCAGATTTGGCTGGAGGTAGGGATGCAATTCTTCATCCATAGTCCAGCCGGTCTCATCAAGCTCGTTCCTACAAGTGGAGCAATCCCAAATAAAATTTCAACCCTTCACCCCGCTTACTTAGATTTTGATTTTGATTTTTCCAGATGTGATTTTTCACAGTCCTCCTTTACCTTTCTGTTGCCTGAAATGGTGAAAAGTAGTGTACTGAAGATAATTCACTCTTTATTCTGCAGTGTTCAGCTGCAGTAGCTGAAGAAGCTGGAAATGGGAGAAAGAGTCCCTGGCAGAGGAGCAGATTGCCAGAGAGTTTCTTTTTTTTGGAAATAAGCTTTGCATGGATTTCTGATAGCCTGTCCGAAAGAGGGAATTGGACACCCATGTCATGGGCACTCTGCTTTACTTTGATTGCTTAAAAATCCCTTTTCCTCTAGATCTTCTGAGAAGTCAGCGTGGACGTATAGCTAGATAAGAACAGCCACCTGCAAAAAGCTGCGTGCTCTCCACTTTAGAGTATTAAATTTAACTTTAGCCGCATTTCTTCTTTGCATGGTCCCTGGTCCGTGCTTAAGGAGATTTTGCAAATGTGAACCGTTGACTTGCCCCATCTGTGTTCACTCTAACATTAAAGTGCTTTACCTGTAAGTTTGGGCGAGTTTGGTGTAGTTACTTAGTCTTACGCAAGGTCTTCCTTAAATTCTGAGCTAAAATACGGGGGATTTTTTCTCATCCTTATTGAACCTTCATGAACACAAGTGAGGTGTTTGTCCCGTTAACGGTGAGGACATAATTAAAAGATGTGATCCTGCAACAGGCCGTGGCTTTTTCAGTCTTGTGACCTCGCTGGTCTTGCAGTTTTGTTTTTGTGTATGGAAAACCTCAGGCTCACACCGCGGTGACTGGGAGCCAGCTCCTCCTGCTCTCCTTTAGAATGATGCACAATTGGTTTTATTCTCGTGTTACCCAGCAGGTACCATCCGTAAGTCTGTTTGCAGAAGGCATCGGATGGGTTTTTTCATACGACCACACAGGTATAACCAATCTAGATTATTTTCCCACTGTGATAACAAGTATTATGATATATCCATATATATTTTATATATGTGTGTATATATAATATATATCCATATATATTATATATATGTGTGTACGTGATGATACATATAGATACGTATATGCGCTCTTCTTACATGCGCACCTTATCTATATATTTTAAAAAATGAATCGATATAAAAGTATCAAAGGTGTTTGAAATAACTGATCAGTTGAGAAAGGAGTTGCGTCCAGAAACCAGCCTTAGGTTACAGGGAGGTCCGGGAGTCCTGGCGTGTATCCGGCTTTCTGCAGACTGCGCGGAGGAGCATTTCTGCTGCGCTTGGGAGAAGCGTTCGGAGAATGAAGTGTGATAATACCTGTGCTCGGCTGTCTCTCTCTTGCTGTTGTTAACAGTAATCGTCTCTCTTTCCCCTTTTCCTGCTGCCTTTTCCGCCCTTTCCCACCTACTTTTTGAATTTATTCAATTGGTCTATCTTTTCTCTTTATTTTCCCTGCCTTTTGTTTTTCTTTTCTATCCCGCCCTGTTCTCGTCTCCCCACTTGCTTGTGCTCCATGTTGCTAGTTTTTATGTTCGCACGCTCATTATCACCCTTTTTTGTACTTCAAATCCCAGCAGCTGTCCAGCCAGGTCCCCGAGCACAGCCCTGTGGTTTATGGGACTGTGGAGAACACCCATCTCGCTGCCAGCACCCCTGTCACTGCGACTAGCCACCCGAAGCAAGGTTTGTTGATGGATATTTCCTTCCTGATTATTTTTAGTCTTTTTTTTTTTTTTTCCTCCCCCCCTCCTTTCTTGATTTAGTTTGAATATTTTTGGCATGGAGACAAGCAGTCAGCAGAAATAAGAGGGGAGGGACTTCTTTTCCTCCAGTGGAACGTTTTAACAATGTGTTGCTAAGGGAATTAATTGACATTCGCCGATGTGAAACTGCTTTAAAATAATTCTCTTCAGGCTTATATGTCCTAAACGTCGTTTCAGAACACCTAGAAGAGTGAACCTCCTCTTGCCCACGTGCCATCCTTCAGAAACAAGTGTGTTGTGGTAAAACGCTCTTAGCCAGAGGGGCTTTATATCATTTGGACAACTAGCCATAGCGATGGCACGTAACCAGAGCATCATATGGCTCCTACAGAGCTGCTCCCTGTGTCCCATCCTACAGGATACGGGAGTTTTTAATCAGAAAAAAAAAAAAACCAAAAACCATTAGCGTACAAAGTGTCTCATAACAAATATTGCTGACTTGAGTAAAAACAGCGCGGGTGGAAAAAGTTTGTTAAAATGATTACGGTTCCTTCTCATATCTAAGAATACCCATTTGAAGGGAGATTTTTTTAGAAAGTGTTTAAAGAAAAGGGTATCCCGGGAGGGAGGATGGAGCATGCCAAGTCTCTTCCCACACTGCAACTTTATAGCCACCTAAAAGCCATGAAAAAGCTGTAGGTAATACTGTATATACTGCCGTCATGTTAACGGGCTCGGTGTTGGAATACGGAGTCGACACCGCGGTTTGCTTCCCGGTCATTCACCGCGTTGCAGCGTTTGAGGCTTCTCCCTAGAGCGACGTGTACGTGAAAGTTGAGAAGTGCCATCGTTTCGCTCGAGAGCGTTGCCTGTAAACTTGGAGCCTGCTGCGATTATTTTTTTTTCAGAGTATTTGCTAGAGGAAAACTAAGCCCCAGGGAAGCACAGCTCTGGGAAGGAGGAAGAGAAGCTGCCTCTGCTGCTTCAGAAGTCACAGATCCAAGCAGCAGCCCAGTCACTGTTCGAAAGTAAAGGGGAGTATCCCTGAGGCTCGTTTGTACCAGATTCTAAAGTTGACTGAAAATGTTGCTCTTTTACAGCCGTAGCGTAGACTTCAGGGTTCTCCCTCGGTGAGAATTGTTCCATGGATGCATCTCTAGACTGCTGCGGTGTCTAGAAATGGTTGAAAAGGGTCCTTTTGGAGATTGTCTGGTCCCGTCTCCCCCTTGAAGCGGGACTATGGCTTTGTCTAGCTCTTTGTGCAAAACTCGGATGTCTCTGTCGCCTGAAAAACTTGTGAGTAGGTTTAAAGTCTATCAAATTGACTGTGACTGCGCCGGCCGAGTGCGGCTTGCAGGCTCGCTGCCGTGTGGTGCTGCTCGGC